CTATTTCAAACTCCATAAAAATGGCATATCAGGTAAAATGTTTGATATAATAAAAAACATGTACGAAAACAACAGGTACAGAATTAAAACAAAAGAGGGTTTAACTGAGAGCTTTAAATCAACAGTTGGAGTCAGACAAGGGTGCAATCTTAGCCCTACTCTTTTTAACATTTTCTTAAATGATCTACCTGACTGTTTCAACTCTGAAAACTGTGACTCCTCGGTTCTTGATAATTTAAAAGTAAGTTGTCTCCTATATGCAGATGATGTTGTCATTTTATCTAAATCTGCTAGGGAACTACAAAACTGTTTAGACAACTTAAAAATATATACGTCAAAATGGCGCCTGGCTGTTAATACAGAGAAAACAAAGGTTATTGTATACAATAAATCAAACAGAGCCCTGAGCAATAATATATTCTTCTTCGCTGAAAAAGAAATTGCCATTGTTAAGCAAATTAATTACCTGGGTATAACTATAAGTGCTAATGGCAAACATAAAGAGGGTATCAATAATTTAAAAAATAAAGGGATGAAATGCAAACTCGGTTATGACAACTCACTAAACATACCCCTCCAACTATCTTTATTTGACAAACTGATAAGACCAATTATTGTATATGGTAGTGATGTTTGGGGTGATGAAAGCACAACTAAGTCTGCAATTGAGGATGTCCATCTTTCATTTTGTCGGTTCATTCTTGGTCTCTCAAAATTCACACCAAAAATGGCTGTTTATGGTGAGCTAGGAAGGTACCCCATTGACTGTTTTATCAAGAAACAACAACTTAAATATTTCAATAGTTATGAAATTGCTTGTGCTGCCATGTTATTTTACGAGTGTTCATCAGTGTAGTTACAATGATCTTCTTGGCGATCAATGCCCATCATTTTCTACAAAGAATGACTATCCACTAACCCTAGTAAGTCTCTACAACAAAAATTAAATCGTACCATATGAACAACCTACGATTCTGTACACCGACCGTGTTGGTAGGGGACTGCCCAGTTACTAACGAGAATAATTCTCCTACGTCTGTTCTCCATTGATTGTTTTGGAAAACAGCTTAACTCTGTACGTGCAAGTAGCGATTTGGACACACACAAACGAAACAAAATCATGTTTTACAACAATTTCTACACAAAGTCTGAATTTCCAGCTTTGGCCAGTCTCTAGCCCTGAGTACAGTCCTATAGGTTGACCTCCTTCTGTTGATCATTCGGCTCCACATGTTAGCCAGTCTCTAACATCGTCTTTCCAAATATCCATGAAAATAATCATTGGAAATACGTATTAAATATTTGTAGGTGAGTTTGTAGTGGTGGCAATAGTACGAGTTCGCATGTAATTAATAAATATTATTATTATTTTTACGTAATTTGTTATGGGACCCCATGACTGTGAGTGGTAGATAGATAGATAGATAGAATTTTTTATTTGGAACGTACCAATGGAAACTTGAGTAAAGTCCAAAAATAACAATAACAAAACAAAACATTCAGAACAACAAAAAGTGGTATATGCCCCCCAGTAATGGCGACGGCGTATGAGCGCAC